TCCTGGGGTCATGTAGTCGCCTTTTGTGACCTTTTGTCAAAATATAAATTTTTTAATCAACCCCCCCCCTCCCCGGTCAATGGTGTCCCTCTTTACCAATCTGAAAATCTGGTCACCTTAACCTAGGTTCATTTTAAAATCTTCAAAGACCAGCATTTTCAGCTGCAAATACTCTAGTTTCTTCAATCAACCATCATTATTTAATCACAATCTTATATATAATCAGAGCTAGAACCATATATAAAGAAGATAAACTTAATACTTTATGCATATATAAAGAAGATAATATAATACTTTATGCATGCTAAAACAGTGCTGTTAGTTGTGAAGATTAGAAAATATGAAGTAAAATGTATACAAAGCTGTTTGCAGTAATTAAGATACCATAGTTTGTTGTTTAAAATTCGACAATAATTTAATGAGATTTTGAGCTTTCGTTGTACTGATTTATAACTATTGCAGTTTGGGAAAGAAAGATAGTTAAGGTGTATTCTACCATGGAAGATGTATTTCCTGCTACAAAAACATATTCAAAATGATAATAAGGCAAACTAGAATATTCTTGTGTTTAACACTGAAATATTTTTTTCTCAAACACATAGAACTATCCATATTTTAACTTACTTAAGTCTTGTTTACTTAAATAGATAAGATAAATGTTGCATAGATTTTGCATATTCAATATGCAAGGAGTTTTTTCTGTGCTTCTTAATTTCAATCTCTCTCTCTCTGTCTCTGTCTCTCTCTCCCTCTCCCTCTCCCTCTATCCTTTCCCTCTAACTTCTTCCCCTATCCTCTTAATCTAATGAATGGAAAATATGTTTACTTTGACACCTCTTATCACACAAAAAATAAAATATTATTTAAGGTTCTTACTTAATTATAACTTCAGTCTGGGAGGGACTCCACAGAATATTAAACCCGGATTAATGTATGTTGATGCTTATGCTCTTTGTGTAAAATTTAAAATAGGAATCATGCAGGACTTGAATAATGGAAAAGGTGGAGTTATGGTTAAGGCAGGAGTTATAGCCTGCTTTGCCTTGTATTTTAATTCCTTCATGTTTGTTTGTTTGTTTGTTTGTTTGTTTGTTTGTAGTTTATTTATAGGCCGCCCTTTTCCCTGAGGGGACT